TTTGTGTACTGTTAATATGCACTTTTGACAAGGAGTACCTTAAGTGACAAAAGCAAAAAAGCGCCCTCTTAATGTATTGATGAAAGAATTTGCTAATATTTGCAAAAAAAATATAGCAATTTCTTGTCACTTCCAATAAAAACAAGTATAGGTTTTCCCGGCTATTTTAACACTTGTATCACTCGAATTCCCTATATCGATACTTTAATTTCGTCCCCGATCATCGCAAAGCTCACTTCTCAATTTGAATTTCAGAAAGCTACCACTAGATTTCATTTAAGGTTCAGTATAATTCAAACTGTTAGCATTCCGATTCGTCCAAAATCTTTCAAATTCGTCTCGTGAAGCCATCGGCGTTGAATTGACAAAGCAAATTCGTTTTTTTGTCATTCGTTTTCATGTTGTTGTCATTACATTTCGTCCCGGTGACTTAAATCGTATACGATTAGAAAATGCGCCCAATATTTAGACTTATTTGAAGAATTATGCGTATTAAAACAATGATAATTCGACATATATTTCCTTATATGTATAAATAAAAGTAGTTAGCTGTAAGGTATGAATTTTTATTTCTGTGTTTCACAATTAACATTAGAGTCAGGAATTGACATTTCACAATATGCACTTATGCCATGGACACTAAGCATTACCTGTAAGTTCAAAGACCTTCTTACATGTAATGTTGTTCTTTGATAGATATACCTTATTTCTGTTGTTTTATTCATATACATATATCAAAGAGCAACATTACGAAGGTGTTTGATCTTAATGCTTAATTTTCATATGCTAAGCAAAGAGCATAATTATTGGGAAAGTTCAATTTCTTATTTTAATGTTAAGTGTCAAAGAAAACTCAAAACCTACAGCTATACTTTCATTTATACGGAAATATTTGTTAAAAATTAAAATTTATTTAATGCGCAAACAAGTTCAAAGATTGGCCACATTTTTAATGGTAACGTTTTAAGTCACCAGAGACGAAATGTGACGACAAGAACATTAAAACGAATGTCAAAAAACGAATTTGCTTTTTCAATTCAACGCCGATTGCTTCACGAGACGAATTTCAAAGATTTTGGACGAATCGGAGTGCTAACAATTTGAATTATACTGAACCTTAAATGAAATCTAGTGGTGGCTTTTTGAAATTCAAATTGAGAATTGAGCTTGGCGATGTTCGGGGACAAAATTAAAGTATCGGTATAGGGAATTCGTGTGATACAAGTGTTAACATAGCCGGGAAAACCTATATTAAGATCTTGTATGTATTGTTGCAACACATAGTTATGTGCATTCAAACAAGATGAGCTGAGTTTCCACTGCATGTTTCCTTTAATACGCTTTCAGTGCAAAATCTGGATTTGTGAGTAATTGTCTAACTCTAAAGTCTGACACTGTCTTAGCATTCTTGTCATACACCATCACTCCACACTGACGCATTTCTGGGTCTATAACACATCACTTTTCAATTTCATTTCGTCTATACCTTAATTCCATTTTCCAGGCATTCCACTTTCTCTGCTTCTATTTTCTCCTACGTTTTCTCAAGCCTCAGCAACTTAAAGTTGCTTTCCCCCTAAAATTGTCCAGTTTAAACCCCGAAATAAATACCATTGTTAATGATTTTTTTTCCCTCTATTTTTCCAGCAATGGAAAAGTTTTATTTTTCAATTTTAAATGACAACTTGATCGATATGTAGGGTTATAATTATTAATTGGGTATTTCGAATTAATTTTCGGGACGATAATTGCGTTAAATGCGCAACATCAATGGTCAAAAAGAGCCCATATGATTAAAGGGGGTTTCAGACGCCTAAGACGGCAAGATGTTCTCGTTTAAAACAAGCTCGATAGGATATATCTCGGAAGCTGAGGGCCAACGAATTCGTGTTCATGCATGAGTCACATGACCGTGCCTGGAAGCCTGGAAGGAGTAGTGTTTTATAGTAAAACAAAAACAGGTGTTTGACCCCTGTGACCCCATGCTGACCTTTGATCCCAGTTTGGTGGTGGGACATGTTGGGGCTGCGCTACTCATACTTTTGACATAGTTAAGTTGAAATCGGTCAAAATATTATGTAGGAGTAATAGACAATGTTAACGTTTGTTACTAACTAACTAACTTACGGAGAGACATGATGATTTGCTGAGCTGCTATCCCGCAGTTAAAAAAATACTTACAAATCGTTAATTTGTAAGGATCAGGAAACAAACGAATTTGTTCAAAAACATGGAGTGAGTAATTAAGTTCAACCACGCTCACCAACCTATTTTTGGGCATAGGTCATTTGTTTCTTTTTCATCTGCTCTCCTATTTTCTCATCAACTTACCTTTCCTTCCCTGCTCGGCATTCCCGGCTCTCATTACGTCATTCTAATCCTTTCTTCCCACTCACCTTTCTCTCCAAATCCGTACACATGATCCTTGCTTTCTGGCTCTGTCATCACTTTCAGAAGCCTCATCCTCCCCCACACGCGCTCGCATGCTGACGCATCTTTCGCATCACATTCGCATATTACGACCTATGCTTATCACAGTGGGCATCTGATAGAGCTCTTGTGTGAATATAATGGTGAAGAAGTGACGCAAATGTGGGGCTTGATGATGAAAAGATAAAATGTCCCGCCTTGGAAGAAGAACATGCATTTTCCTTCCATTATTATCTCAGTTGACATAACATATTCAAAGATGTTATGATTATACTACTGACCTTTGTTAAAACACATTAAGACCATTCTTGACAAAAAAAATACAATCACATTAACTAGAAAACAGCTGACTGCTGTTTATACAGGGTGTATAGGAACTGAAAGTAATGCAAAAAATGAGTTGTTCTGTGAAAGTTATGAACTTCAATACTGTCAAATTGGGTAGTTCGTTAGCTTATTTGCACGTCTTCAGTTACGGATGACTGGGAGCCAGTGATTTCAAAACAAAGGCCAAGAAAATCCGTTTCCAATTTTGCTGAAGAAGCTAATGAACCGCCCTTTAAGATGGAGCCACTTGGATAGTGTTTAAGTTCATAACTTTAACATATTTACCCACACATTTTTAGATTACCTGTTTATACACCCTGTACAGGGTTAATTCGCCATGATCTGGACCTAAGTTCACCATTTTTGTTGTGGCAATGAGAGTACATGGAGAGAAAAAACTGAGTGTTTCAAATGAATGGTCATTACCTTGTCTTCCACAGGAATTATGTATTTTTCAAATTAGTGGCTGTGGCGAGGAGTAATGCCATTTTCGTTGAGGTGGCTCATTTTTCAGTATGCACACGGATTTGGTTTTGCTTTGTTTTTAATTTGCCAATAACTTCAAGTGAGTCAGTCACCATGACTACGTTTTTATTAATTCTGTTATTACACTGCTTCACATCATTATACGCGATTTCAATAAATTTGTTGAACCATGGAACCGTGGTCAGAGTGGGTATTTTTTAGCAAGTGTTCTTTCCTAGCGCTTCAGCTGATCAAGCTATTGCGTCATTTTCAGCATCCACCTTGCAAGATAATGCCCAATTCCAAATTATCAACATACACAGTGCCTCTAAAATGCCAATATTTGGTCCTTAATATAATAACATAAAAACGACATTTTGATTTAAGGAGTGTTTAAATTTGTAATGGATACAACATGCAATAATGATTCTCCTCTGGTTTAGAAAAAGGCAACTATGTTAACATCGTTGTAGAATGCCTTCACAAAAGAATATTCATTCAGTTTCCTCAATATGCATTCATTAACATTTTATGTTTTTTTTTTATATTATATAGGCCTATTCTCTTTGATAGACAGTACTGTACAATCCTGAGTTTTCTACAGTGCACAATTTAAACGATAAAATAGCTCCGCTGGCACAGAGAGCCGCTTATTCGTGAATACTCTTATCTAAATTGCACTTACATATTAATATTCATAATATCATCATATTAATATAAAATATTACATGCAGATAAACGTGTATTGACAGCCGCATTATTAAATCAGGCTCAATGCGCATTACTATATTTTATTGATATAGACTTTCAATTTTGATAAAATCATCTGTAATAACAAATAGTAATATTTATCGCATTTTCAGTATTATTTTACTAACATTTAATTCTACTTTCTATATGGTTCGGTTGTTTCTTTTTGCGTTGTGCATGAGGGTTGCTGGAAAGTTTACATAGTCTGGAAGTGTGCTTGAAAAAAATATATATATTAATCACATTATTGTGAAGTTCAGACTTAAGACTTAACAGACTTAACATTTGGTAAGCTTACAAATATTCTTTTAATACCTTCTGCATTTGTTCGGATTACTTGGTTTTAATTTATTAAGATTGTTTCCCCACTACTATTATGTTGCCATTATATTTATTTAAAACCCATCTGCATTAATTTACTTATTCAAAACCATTTTGCACACTCTCTGTGATTGATCAATTATTTATTTGATATTTGCCGATCAATTACATTAACACCCTAATTTGCCAAAAAGTTCGATTGTCTTCATGTCAACGGTATAGGCACTTTTAATAAAGCAAACCAACCGTTTAAGAACTTGTTATACATTAAACATCCGCGCCGAATTGGAACATCGGTGCTAAGAAAAATGTTGCTTGTTTTACAATATCCCTTGTGCGATCCATATGATTTAATGAAATGGGATAACGTTCGGAAATCATGTTAATCTTTAGCCAAACATAACTGTTCAAGGGAGCATTCAACCGCAGAGTAATGGACCCACCAGATTTGGTCATTAGCCCGAGTGCCCAACCCATCTTTGGTTTGTGTACATTAAATGCAGTATTTGTGAATGGTTGTTACATTATCGGTTGGTGATACGTTATCCGTTGGTTACTACATTACCAGTTGTAACAAAGTTTGTTACAACTGGTAATGTAGTAACCAACGGTTAACTTATCACCAATCGATAATGTAACAACAATTCACAGATAGTGTATCACTAACCGATAATGTAACACAAAACTGACTGATAGTGTAGTAATTGTTCCTGCACTATCAGTCATTTGTTGTTACATTACCGATAATGTAACTACAATTGACTGATAAGGTAGTACATTTTGATCAGTTTTGTATTACATTATCGGTTAGTGATACAGTATTGGTCAGTTGTTGTTACGTCATCGGTTGGAGATACGTTATCCGTTTGTTACTACATAACCAGTTGTAACAACATTTCTAAAAGTGCTTGTGACAACATTTGACCGAGCTACTGTGGTCAGTTGGTCCAAAGTCGTCATCTAATTGGCCAATGAGCGTGCTGGATCGACAGGCAGGAAGTGTCTTTATTCAGATTGGTCTATGCCGCCAACGAGTGGTATTCTCGTATAGGAGTCAACATTTAAAGTGACTGAAATCGGGCAAAAAAAAAATCATGGCAGCAAGCGGGGAAGCAGCCATGCCCTAACCAATGAAAACCAAGTTCGCAGGCACGTAACATAATGACTTCAATTCATTGGTCGAGTGTGTGAAAGTGGGGCAATCTCAGTCTTATCACTGACATGGCCGGGAACAAGCCATGGCCTAGCTAATAAGAACCAAGTTCGCAGGCACGTGACATAAGGACCTCCATTCATTGGTCAAATTTGAGAAAAATGGGAGCAATCTGGTTCTCATCACTGACATGGCCGGGAACCAGCCATGGTCGTGCCAATGAGAACCAAGTTCGCAGGCACGTGACATAATGACCTCCATTTACTGGACGAGTGTGTGAAAAGTGGGAGCAACCTCGTTCTCATCACTTGCATACTACCGGCAATCATCACATGAAAGACGTCCGCGTCTCGCCGTCCGAGTTGGAGGCCCTGCCGTTCTTGTTAGGCTTAGCCTGGTCGTGGGTCCACCAGCGACCGCGGTCCATCCTGGACCCCGTGGACAATGTCTCCATCTGGGTCTGGCCCGTGTTGGCCCGCCGAAGACCCTTAAACCCGTTCCAGTCCCCCTGGTACGTAACGCAAGGCAGGAAACGGAACACGGACCGAAAGCCGTTCCGGAACTTGATGTTCATCCAGCAGTAGATGAAAGGGTTGTAGACGCAATTGCTCATGGCAGCTAGCAGGGCACATAGATATATAATCTGAGAATAAACAATAAAAAAATGTTTTTATTAAAAAAACCACTACAAAGGTACGTTTTGGCAAAAGGCTGTACAGTTTACAGTATTGTTTGATACGAAGAAATGTGAATGTTTAAAGTGTTCTGTGGTGTCATTTCAGTAAGAAGGAGAATTTTGGTTGTTTTGTTTTTAAACTATCAAAATTAAACGAAACGGTGTTAGGATATCCGTTTAACGTATTTGTATGGGGCGTATAAGCCTTCCTGGTTTTCCTAAGTGGCCTCTGAATATGAATGATTGAAATCGCAAAGTGGCTTTCAATGAATTTCCACTCAAAATTCAGCTCGCAAACGACTTGAGATGGTTTTTAGACCGAAATTAGGTTGAGTAATTTTACAGGTGGTCTCAGTTGAAGTGATTCATTAGGTTATTCTTCAATCATTGCACTTTGTTGGCTATTGAAGCTGGTACGGGTATGAATTTACCAAAAAGTATTGGTTCTTTTCCGCGAGTAAAAACCAATACGCTTAGATTGCACGATTTCGCCAGATTTGCACAAGTTAACCTTTTAAACCAAGACATTAGTGTTGATCGACCATGAAAAGAGCCGAGGCGGTCGATACGTCCCCAGTCAGAATCCATCGATCAGGGGTTAATGGTTGACCTGGTATCCAGACGTCATTCTCAAGTCTCGAGTGTGATAAACAAGGAGGGTGGCCATCGCGTGGCAACCTCCTACGAGATGGATTCAAAGCGCGGTACCGGCCGCTCGCTCTGTTTACACTGATGTTGAAAACCCACCTTGATGTAATAGAAGAAGAGGACATTTTGGTTGCTATCTTGGACGATGGTGTAGATCTGGATCGGCAAGTAGCACAGGGCAAAGAGTAACACGATTGTAGCAAACATCTTCACTAGCTGAAATGAAAACCGAAAAAGCAATCAAGCGGATTTATTCTAGTTCATCCCCCGTGGGCGTTTGCAAGGCACCCGTCTTATTGGCTGTCTGTATTAAAGATTGACGAGCTGACACCTTCTACGATACTTATCAAAAGCCCCGATATTGAATTATTAATTACACCATGATCATTTGGGATCCAAGCAATCAAATCTTTGTTCTAGCGAATTATCCTTAAGAAATTGTCAAGCTATGTGTGATTGTGTATCAACCCGCTGAGACGATACGATGTCCACTTATGGCACGTAGTGCACGTCCGGCAAAAACACTACACCAGCGGCTCTGGACAGGAAACTCGGCAAATCCCTTTTGGGGACTCTACGATTAATCAACAGCGGATGAACTGCCAAAACAAAAATGGGCAAGAGTGTGCCATTTCAAAACAACAAATATCAAAAACCAAGATTGAGCAAAACAACATCTAACTGACAGGGAATGTTTGCATTTTTTGTGTTCTTCTGCTAAAGGATTTCCTTTTTTCTCATGATAATACATTATGACACATGGAAATCTTGTTAAATCATGGAGATCAATTAGAGTACCGTGGCCTCGTGGTCTGGAGTATTGAGCTTGTGGTCCGCGGGTAATTATGCAGGTTGTGGGTTCGAGTCCAGCCCGGGGTTATGGTGCGTGTGCCCTGAGACAAAGCTCTTTATCACTCATTGCTTCTCTCCACCCAGGAGTAAATGGGTACCTGTAGGGGCAGATGGTTAGTGTGGTTGATTTTATCTGCTCTGCGCCGAAGTGGCAGTATCGAGTTGTATTCACCCCCAGGGAGCTGAGATGGTGTTTGGAACGTTTTATTTGCCCAATGAGCAGGGTAATAATGATGAACCGCTTTGAAACCTTATATGTATAAAGCGCTATTTGAGCACCATTATTCCACTAAATGCATCATTAAGGAGACATGTTATCGTAATTTCTTCGAACGGTGGGAGACATCGATCGTCAGGGAGACATTTTCATGTCTCCTTAATGTCACAGCCCCCCTTTAGAGGTAAAATGTTCTTGTCGCAAGTAGGTTATTTTTCTTGCTCGTGGTTTAATGAGTAAACGTACCAAAATTCGTGGAAAATGGACAAGGGGATATTAGGTTAGGGCACATTTAAGTTTGAAAAGTTTTGTGCACAAGTCTATGGGGATGTCTCCCAAATGTTCAATCCAGGGTAATACTTATTTTCATCCCATGTGTGTTGTAGCTATGTTTGTCAGATTATTAGTCTGTCACTGTATTTTTTAAGGTATGTCGCGTCGGGTTTCTTTGTGTATGGTTAGGCATCTTCATATAAGCCCTAGGCTTCGAGATATGCCTCCACAATCGCCATTCAATTTATTCCAGTTCTTTCCTGTGGGTTCTTATTTATAGCAATTGTATAATTTATTACATGTATTTGACTTTTTTATACTATGTTTTGTCATTATGGAGATATATATTGATTGAAATCAAAAATTGAAAATGCATAGGTATTGTGACCCTATCTACCTTGGAAGAAGGATTAAGTCCTAAAATCCTTACAACCAACTATTAGATAAACACGTATTATGAAATATTTTTGTATAAATGTCTATAAATCTTTTCCCCCGTTTAATTACCCCCCCCCTTCAAAAAAAATAAATACTACTACTTGATTGATTTTATTAAATTAAATTCAATCTAAATTCCGGGGGATAATCGTCTTAATACTCGCAGCAGAAGCAGAATTGCGAAAGACGCAGCTACAACGCGGTCGAGCCGCAGGCATGTATACAGTATGTTCCCAAAATAGGGGGTCAACCCTATGTTCCCCAATACCGATGTTCCCAAATACCGATGTTCCCCGAAATCCTTAGGATAAGGGTTAGGGTTAGGGTTAGGGTTAGGGTTAGCCTGGTAAGGATTTCGGGGAACATCGGTACTGGGGAACATAGGTATGCACCCAAAAATAGTGTCTGTCTGACTATTTTTGCAACATGAGGTCAGTTTAAAAAAAAAAAATTTGCAGATACTCCTAAGCCTTTGGAAAGTGATTCTAATACCAAGTCACATCAGCCTTCTTCACAACATGCAGGATTTTACACAGCTTACCGTACATAGCACAGCACTGATTTTGACTAGGGCAAGGAACGTACTTGGTCACAGTGTCTAAACCTGTTGTGATCATTTGTCAATTGTGCAGTGATGCGTGACTGAAATTATATGAAACTCATATGGGTTGAGGCCAAGGCGTAGACGTATTTACACAATCAAACTTTTTCAAAATTGACCTCATGGTTTTGTAGTTACTTTAAAACAGTCAGACGGACAATTTTTGGGGGGACATACTGTATACTCCAAATCTAGAAGGTTTTGAATTTACAGTTTTAAAGCTTATTCAGCAAAGCTCTAAACCTGAAAATGGTATGTATCTACCCCAACATGACTTTACACGGCCCATTGTGCAATAACACCTGCAACTTTGTCCGGGTTTCACGGGAGCAGGTGTCATGTCAATTTAAGCTAATACAATCCAAATGTATCAAACCGAACGCTCAACAAACAAGTCTTGTTATCTGAGACACAAGGCACATAACATACTTTTTTTTTCCTGCAAAGGCTTCTGTCAGCTTTGCCGTCAACCCATTACTGTCGATCCTTAGTGCCTCAACCACGTCACCGTACCACGTCACCGTACCACTTAAGACCTTCATCTTCACATGAACCGTGAATTGTGAAGTGTAGCTGGCTAAAGTCCAGGAGCCAAATCCACACTTGCTGTAATAACGAGCAGCTGCTCATCAGCTTCGTCTACACTGAGTTATTTTTGAAACATTAGCTTCCTTCCAGCGTTGGCTTCAGGCTTCAGTTTCCGGCCTCCTGACAGAGGAGACTCCCGTTCAACATTTGGAGAACTTCCATTTAGTTTGACGGTTCAAGGCCTTTACATTTATGCTTGGATCAGAGACGAAGCGGTACACGCCGTGGTTTTAAGACGAAGAAATACCTTGGGCACAATTGTTTGTGCAGGCCAGTGAAATAGGCCCAAGGTTACCTAAGCCTGCCGAATCACGATTTCTATGTCCTCATTTTGTGACCCTACTATTTTAGGGTTATTATAGTAGCAAATAAGGCTGCAATTAAGGTAAGTCTCAACCGTAGTTCAAACTTTAAATTTCTAAGGAATTTAAGATGAAATTTGACTCCAAAGTCGCTCTCTTTTTTTTGTAAAGAAGTGGAAGGATTTTTTTTAAATGGCGATTGGCTGTATTTGTTCTTGAGCATCGAACTGTTTCTTTTCTTTCCCATTTTCTGAAGTGAGACTATTTACAAAGGATGACTTTTTTTAAACTGGAATGCACTCACATTATTTCCTGTGAGTGTGATGCTCAATTATAGACTACTGACAATTGAATTGGCACGCCTGTTTGTTGTTCCTTTTGAGTCGTCAGGAACCAATACTAAATGGCTGCTATGTTGGAGGTCTCTGAAGGCAAACTGAATTGAGGCATTCTTTTTGTGGTATATTTTCAGATCTCAATTTTCCATCGGTGATCATGTCATTTTGTGAAGTTTCATATCATATATATGTACGTAGAAAATATGCTTCCAAACTGTAGCAGACCTTTTTATGGAAGTCGCCCATGATACGTACTGAACTATCTCATGGTACCTCTATTATCTCATGATATCTCGATCGCCTCGTGATACCTCTAGTACGATACCTCTACTACCTCATGACACCTCGAATATCTCACGATACATCTACAACCTCTTGATACCTCTACTGTCTCATGATTCCTGGATTATCTCATGATTCTTCTTCTACTTCACGATGCCTTTACTATCTCGTGATATGTTGAGTACCTCATGATACCTCGATTACCTCAAGATACCGCGACTACCTCATGGTACCTCGACTCCCTAACGGTAACTCTTCTTCCTCATGGTACCTCGACTACCACATGGTATCTCGACTATACCTCATGGTACCACAACTACCTCATAACACCTCATGATGGGCCTTATTCACGAGTCGGCCATATTGAATTGAAAGTTAAGTAACATCTTAATTTTTGAAACTTGCGAAGAGAAATGAAAGTAAGTTAATTCATAATAAATTCCAGTCTGCTTTAATGAATAATTTAAAATTTGTAATTGAACGTTCCCTAATGTTTAAAGCCATATTTAAAAAAAACCAGTAAAATAAAGCTGCATTGTACCTGCATAAATAGTCTGGCGCCATCCCAGTCAACAGTTAACAATATTAATGAAATACATTCAGGGAACTCGACAAAAATGGACAATTCGTGAATAAGGCCCATACCTTGACTACATCATGGTACCTCGACTACCTTATGGTACATTGACTAAATTATGGTACCACGATTACCTCACGGTACCTTGACTACCTCATGGGACTGATACCTCTAATATGAAACATTTACTGCCCCATTCCTCTACTATTTCATGCCTCGATTAACTCATGACAGCTTGACTAATTCTCCCTATAATACCTCACGATATTTATACTTCCTCATGATACCTCTACTGCCTCATACTATACTACCCCGTATTGCTACTTGAATCTTTTTAAAATAAGTTATGGGAGGAATTGAGAATCAGTTTCTTACCCGTGCTTTGGATTCACTCATCTTCTTATCCCTCTCCGCCTCCACCTCGCCTGGGGTTCTCCTCCCCCAGATTCGCTTCCCGATCCTGATGTAGGCTGCCGTCAGCACCGTCAGCGGCAAGAAGTACTGAAGAACCATGCAGATGAGCGAGTAGACCAGGGAATCCTCCCAGGACCCGTCCGTGCAGAAGGTAGCATCCCCGGCAGTCTCAACTGTGGTGAAGAGCACAGCAGGCAAGGCCAGGGCGACTGAGATGACCCAAATGACGCCGATAACAAAGAGCGTCTCCTTGGACCCCATACGGGGCCGCAAGGGGTGGATAATGGCGAAATACCGGTCCACACCGATGGCCACTAAGGTATAGATGCTGACCGAGACTGAAATAGTCTGGCAGAAGGACACCAACTTGCACATGACCTCTCCAAAAGGCCAGCGGGTATACAGCGTGGCGTAGACGGTGAAGTTAACGCACATGGCCGCCATTAGCAAATCCCCGATCGCCAGGTTGACGATGAAGTAGTTGGTAACCGTGCGCATCCGCTGGTGTCCCAGGACAATGTAGCACACGATGCCGTTGCCGCAGATACCCAGGACGCTGACAGTTCCGTAGAGGCTAATGAAGATGGCCTGGACCCAGACTGGCTCCTTGTAATACTCTACATCATAATAGTCTGGTTCCTCTGTGGCGTTGGCACTTGAGAAGTTGGTAATCTCCGTTAGGTTAGCCATGTTTAGCCGTGCGAGTCTTAATACATTAACTTATCTGTTTCTTATGAAGTCCCAATAGCTGTGTGGAGTCTCCCTCTTCAATTCAATACAAATAGCGTCTTGTATCTGTACCTCAGCTGTGGAAAAATAACCATCAAATCAAAAACTAAGCCACATGTGACTCTCAAGATCAGACGCAGGAAAACATTTTACGAAACAACGTCTCACAGTTGTCGAAATCCCGCGAAACACGACAGAGAAGGTGCATCCTGATAAATGAGGTCGCTTTACAGGCTTGGAGAGGTTGTCAAAGCAACATAGCCACAGGTTTGTGTTAAACTAAGAGATATCCAGCTTGCTTTAAGTAGCCCTTTCATCAATGCTCCTGCAGAAACTCAAGTCATCCGAGCAAATATTCCCTGCCAGACAAAGAGGCCGATTATTATCTGAACCGGACAAAAGATGTTGTCAGGTTTAGAAATGTGCTATCAGGTCGGGGGGGGGGGGTCTGCGGATGACGGTTACGAAACAGCAGCTATCCAATCACAAATCCTCCTTGGTAAACCATCCAGGGTCCACATCACAGCAGCAGATCGTCCATTGGCACAACAGGGATGCAACATCAGGGATAGAACGACGCAATGGCAGCACGCAACCTCGATCTCCCGCGAGAGAGCCCAAGAGTCCAAAAAAATCCGCAGTGTAGATCTGGGGGGAAAAAATAGACAATTCCTTTTATCAGCTTAGCAGCTTGTGACCTATTTCTAAAATCTTTCTATGCACCCATTAATAAATTTAAAGAAAAATAATTGATTCACTACAAACATAAAGTAACTATCCAACTATGAGATCTATATTAACCCTAAAAAGGGCCGGGTTATTTTGACCATCCATCAGCCGGAATCAGCCATCTATTGCGGAATCCCCCCCCCCAAGATCTCGGCCATCGAGTGACGAACAATGTTGAAACTCAGTACATGCACTGAGAGCAACTCATCATAAACATACCCAAGACATTCATGACTATATGTCAAAAGGGTTTTGGAATTATGGCTAATTAATTATTCATTTGTGAGAATGGTAATTCTGCTTTGTGTACTCTACGTATATGGGGAAATTCAGTTTTCACGGCACATAGCGCCGGGAAATGTTTAAGTCATAACAACTCGGGTCGCGAAAAAAAAATTCAAGGCGGAAAAAGTTGGGGGGGGGGGAGGCAGATCTCGCCCCCGGCCCTTTTATGGTTAAGTAAGCAAACGAGAGCCAATACATCAAAGTAAAATAAGAATTCACATCTGATGCAGTTAAACATTGATATATCGCGCGCCTTTTCCTGATCTACCAATATTGGTGCTGAAGGCGCTGCATCATCATTACTCTGGTCATCGAGCCAATGAAACATTCCAAATGCAATCTCCGCTCCCTGGAGAGCATACAGCTCCATGCTATTTCGGCGCAAAGCAGCTAAAATCAATCACATCAACCATCTCTGCGCCCACAGGTTCCCAATTAACTACTGGGTGAGGACAAACAATGATTGACACAGTGCCTCGCCCCCAAGGGCTCACGCACCATCACCCCAGACTGGACTCGAACCCACAACCTGCAGAATTACCCGCCGACCACCATGAATTCAATGCTCCTGACCACGAGGCCACGGCACTCCTAATAGATTACACGCAAACATGTTTTTTCCTGAACTGTATGCACAAGTTAAGTTACTAAGGTTGAGCTCGTCCATTATTTTCAGTCAGATTCCAATGCTAAAGTTTCCTTTTTGAAATCTATTGACCAGTAGGCCTACATAGTTTTTTATCGCGCGTAAAAATAACCAAAACTAATAACACGTATCCTGCCTCAGATGCCATCTCAGGGTTACTCCGCATAAAGGTCCATTAAGCAGTGTGCCAGAATAAACACACTAACAGTGTTAAGACATGCGATGCACCATTTTATCATCGCAGAAAAAAAAAACAGCCCCAGGTCTTTATTTAAATCATGCCACACCAGAAACAAGAAGCTGATGTATGTTTTGCATAGTTCTCTCTTCTTTTATCATAGCTGGACAGCACGCAAGCAGACGATGCGTTTCATCGGCGCGTGTTGGGTTTCTGCGATTTTTCCTATGGCGGGAATGATCTTGCACAGTATCGATTTTTTTTGGGACGGAAGAGCGCGGTCCTGTTACGATGTCATTATCACAAGTAATTAGGGATCGATTGGTTCCTGTAAACGCAGCATTCTCTTCTTTCCAATAACCGCATTTTTCATTTCATTTATTTAACTCACAGCAAGATCGTAAGCGCTATTAGCAAAGGGCGCATCTGCCCGGCGGTTATCTCGGGTTTCAGGAGCATGAAACGACTGAGAACATTTCTATCCCCCCTGGATGGGATGCTAGTCCATCGCAGGTTATTCCCCAGCTGATGCCGGTACCCATTTATACTGCTGGGTCGAGAGAGGCAAGTTGGGGTAAAGTGGCTTGCCCAAGGACACAACATGTGGCCAGCAGCTGATTCGAACCCCTGACCCTCTGATAGTGAGTCACAGGCCTTAACCACTAGCCCACACTCTCCCTATTCATGTACACATGCCAACAAGGACTCTCGTGGGGAAACTCCCTCTTTTGGTCGAGGACATCACGAACCCAAGTGCGGACAGTCCTCTTAAAAAAAAATAACCGCACAAACCAAATGAGAGGCCCTGTAAAATAATGTATATTTCAGCACAAACAAAAGAACAATTGACAACACGAAACGTGGAAACCCTTTTTTTCTGATAAAGGACATTATACCCAAGTACGGACAGTCCTCGGCTGAAAAAAATGCACAAAACAAATGAGAGGCCCTGCAAAATAATGTATGTTTTCAGCACAAACATAAGAACAATTGACAACACGAAACGAGGAAACCTTTTTTTCTTATAGAGGACATTTACCCAAGTACGGACAGTCCTCGGTTGAAAAAAAAATGCGCAAAACAAATGAGATAATGTACGTTTCAGTACAAACAAACGACGACGCACACGAGGAAACCCCTTTTTCCTGACTGAGCACATTAACCCAAGTGCGAACAGTCCTCGGTTGAAAAAAAAACAAGCACAGACCGAATGAGAGGCCCAGCAAAATAAATGGTGGTGGGTTACATTTCAAACAGGCAAAAATTGTGCCCTTTCTCCAGTCAGGGGCGAAATCGAGATGGACGCGACGCCTAGTTACTGCAACGTCCATTCTCAGTAGCATTGCAAAGTTAGAACTTCCACCAATGAAAGTCCGCTTTGTAAGCGTTCAGCATGTGACGCCATCGTCAACAACCACATCAGGGATCTTCTCAAAGTATCTCAAGGTGTATCCGAGCGTCTATGAGCGTCTAAAATCATCACTTATCTTATTGTGCCCAAAACTTGACAAGTGTCAGACCCCTAGTTGTATATATATAGAAAAACTTATTTGTAACCTTTTTTTCTTTGAATACATTTCCTTTGCAAAGAATTTAGACTGTGAACCACGTTTCAGTTGTATACAGGTTGTTGATTCTGGAGCTCAATCAATGAAAAATATCGCCATTTTCTAATTTTGTCAAAAAGAGCACAACAATAAAAAGTAATTAATCAACTACGCTCTCAATTTCAATTAGATACATCTCGACTCTGCGATGTAATCTAGTAAAAGTAGTAAATCCTCACGTATGACTAATCATCAGGGTTCAATTGTCAGTTAAAAGAAGTTACCGGTGGCTAAGGGCCCATTCATTTAAATTAATGTTCGTCAAAATAAATGCGATAACCTTTCAATACAAGCATTGATTTATTATTTTCTTCCTCGCCTCCCAAATATAAACACAATTTGTCAGCCACAGATGAATCCAACGGCGTGTTTTTAATATTATTTTCTATTGTAATCGAAGGTGACACTACTTTCGATCAAACCAAATCAGCGGACGAGAGTTCATTTATTTTAAGTTTAGACGCGTGTACAGGATAAACACACGGCCCAGTCCGTTTACATTATCCAAAACCTGATACGTAGAATTTCCTTGGGTAAATTTGCGATCGACGGAGTGTTAGAGTGCCTGTTTGTACGTAACGTTTTGCCTATTATTCTCTGTCAACGCGCATGAGCGTACAGTATTATCTTAGGCTATTACCCGCTTGGGCAGGGGGGGGGGGGGAAGTACGGATGCCGTTAGCGATAGTATGTATGCTTCTTCAGCTTTATGGAAGATAAATAGTTCTCTTTGTTAAAGAAAAGCAAGGTCTGAAAAGATTACAAACGCAATTTGTCAAAACTAACTACGAAGTGACACAAACATGTTTGTGTGTATCGAGGACACCACACTGTTCTACTCTTGTCCGTAATAACTTTGTCGCAGCATCTCTCATGGGTTTTGTTCACGTTTTCAAATTGACGACCGTCCTCAGATGGGTAAGTGACCTCTATCAGAACAAAATGGTTTCCTCATGGGTGTCGTTAAGTTGTTTGTGGTAAAATATTTATGTTGGATTTAGAATTTCTGCTTTCTTGTACTTTTATAGCGAGTTTTACAAACATAACCAGCGGTTCTATATCAGTGGCGGCGCTATGGGGTGGGGACATGGGGCATTTGATTGTCCCCAAGTTGTTTCCTTGCCCCCCCCCCCTCCCCCGAACTTTATCTACAAATAGATTAACAATGTTTATTTATTTTCTTCTCTGTTAAGGTTCATAACAAGTTGAAGATTGAGCGTGCATTATCAGTTCTGTGGCACATTTTGAGCCAATGAAAGCATGATGAACATTGCCATTGGTACTTTGGTAGGCAAAACACGCGTCACGGCACACATGCATTTATACAGCCAAATTGTGCAGCCAACGTCAATTTCCTTACTTTCCCCTTCAATTTCGGATATCATCAGATTTTATTGTGACTGTCCCCCCCCCCCACACACACAAAATATTTTCTTGCCACCGAATTGCCCCCCCCCCCCCTTTTTAGAGTGTGGCGCCGCCACTGCTCTTTATCGACGCACTTATCTCAGCTTACTCCTGGAAATGTTCAACGATTGTATCAAACAGCTTTATAGTGTGTCCTCAGTAACGTTTAACCCTAAAAGGGCCGGGCTATTTTGACCATCTCTCAGCCGGGGGGGGGGGGGGGGGGGGGAGCGGATACCGCCCCTCCCCCTCCCTAGGATCTTGGCCATCGAGTGACGAAATGACGAAAGAGATTTCGTGACTATAGGTCAAAGGGTTTTGGAATTATGGCTAATTAATTATTCATATTCACGAATGGTAATTCTGTTTTGTGTACACTAAGTAAATGGGGAAATTCAGTTTTCACGGAGCATAGCGCCCGAATTTTATGTTTTTGGTATCAAAAGATGCGCAAGACTCGAGGCTAGAAAGTCAAAACAGCTCGGGTCGCGAAGAAAAAAAAAATTCAAGGCTATCGCAGAAAAAAATATTGGGGGCCGATTCCGCCCCGGCCCCTTTAGG